TTGTTCTCAAATTAACAGTCACAACTACAGTAATATTACTAACGGTATTTAAAACAAACATAGCTAACAAAATTGTCAAACGAGCTATCTTTGCAGAGAAAACGAGTTCCTCTTTTAGATGATTCCGATCTTGTTTGCCACATCCAATGCATCATAGTCTGGTGTCAATCGAACAAACGCCTTCTTGGTTCCATCAGGCCTGCACAAAATTAATGCATATTTATAGTCAACAGCTTTCAAAGAGCACAACAAAATTAATGCATATTTATAGTCAACAGCTTTCAAAGAGCACAACGTTTACGACCAAGAACCNCAATGAAGCAGAAGCTAGTGACAATATGGAATTTTACATGGCAGTTATTAAACTAAACTACTAACTAGTATGCATAGATGATGATCGTAACCCACAACAGTAACAACAACAACCTAGTATAATCCCACAAGTGGGGTCTGAGAAGGTAGTGTGTACGCAGACTTTACCCCTACCCTGGTGGGGTAGAGATGTTTCCAATAGACCCTTGGAACAACAACAACAACATGCCCACTAAAATCCCAGAAGTGGGGTCTGAGGAGGGTAGTGTGTACGCAGCCTTGCCCCTACATTTGTGAAGGTAGAGATGTTGTTTCCAATAGACCCTTGGAACAACAACAACAACAACATGCCCACTGAAATCCCAGAAGTGGGGTCTGAGGAGGATAGTGTGTACGCAGCCTTACCCCTACCTTTGTGAAGGTAGAGAGGCGCGATAGACCCTCGGCTCAAGGAGCATAGATGATGATAGTGATCAACGAGGACCAACTAATACTTATCATAATACTTATTAAACTGAATGTGCATATTTGCCCTTAGATTAGCATATTCTGCAATGACAGCTACTAAAAGACAATCTGAGATTCCAAGTTTTTTATGTTATCCCAACTATTACTATCAGAGGATTTGGTATTCACCTGACCAAAGTGTTCACTTTCTTGGTCTGAATATCATACATCTTCTTGACGGCATCCTTAATCTTCTTCTTGTCAGCTTTGAGATCAACAATGAAAACCAAGGTGTTATTATCCTCAATCTTCTTCATTGCAGACTCAGTGGTTAAAGGATACTTGAGGATTCCGTAATGATCCAACTTGTTCCTTGGAGTTGCACTGATACGGGGATATTTTGGGTTCCTCTCCTTCTTCAATGTCTTAGGCCTGTGAAAGGTAACCTTCATTCTGATCTTGTTTGACTTCTTCTTGAAGGTTGATCCTGATTTCACAGCCTTGGCGACCTTTGCTGCCTGAGCTTTGGGGTCTGCCTTTTTTGTGCTAACAGCTTTGTCCCAAAATATACAATATAATCAATGTCGTATAACGCAAAAAAAGAGTGTCATGGTAGTTACATAGAATACAATTGACGCCAATGACAGGGTTACCATCTTAAGAAATAGATAAACATATCCAATATCCTAACTTCATAGCAAGGACAATTTCCTAGCATGGACCATTTACAAGTTAAAGAACCTATTTTCTGCTATTACACCGGCATAAAATGGAAAAATGTAAAAGAAAATGTAATATTAGCAAGCAATTCTTGCCTCAGAACTCTATATCATAAAGGGGCAATCCGGTACATGAAGCATAATGCATTCACACAGGGTCCGGAGAAGGGCCGCACTGCAGTAGGATGTAATGTAGGCAGCCTACCCTAATGCAAGCATCACTGCTCGAATCCATGATCTATGGGTCACAGAACTCTATATCATGCTTGCACAAAAACTGGCCCGTGATGCAATTCCAAATATAAACTTCTAATCCATCCTATTACTGAAAACAACCATTTCATCAATGCAAATTCTAATGGTCCTAGATTTCATGGTTTGATTGGAAAATAATCAGATACCAAATTAGGAACTTATTACTTGACATTACCAGGAAAATAATCAGATACCAGGCAAGGAACAGGATTTTTGTTGTAGAACCTCATTACTATTTCAACATAAGAACTCATTTTTAAACTCACAGGATAGATTCATAAATAAACTAAAGATACCAAAGTTCATTGAAGCATAGAATACCTTTGGCGGGTGCCATTGTTGATTACTGCGACGGGAATTCTTACAGCCGCCGGTGAATATTAGGGCTTTAAAATGACAAGGATATAGCCACTGCTACACTACACAAAGGTTGTTATTGGGCTTCCTTATGAGATTTGGGTCTTCTCGTGGTTTTGCCCAATTTTATCGGATGTCCCTACACCTACTGAAAATATGGACAAAATAGCACGGTAATTGAAAAATAGTCAGTTTTTATAAAATCATTCAAAAATAACCACTATTTTTCTGAAATATGAAAAGTTCCAGCATAATATGCGAAATTATGGAGCTTCTGCGAATAAACTTCTAGCACATTATGTTGGAACTCTAGCACACGAAAAGCTCTAGCATAATATATTGGATTATGGAGCTCTTGCATATAAACTTCCCGCTTATTATATTAGAACTCCAGCACATTATGATGTAAGCTCATATTTAAAATATTCGAACTTTAGCATATTATGCTAGAATATTTTCGGATTTTTAAGGGTGTTTTTGTTCAGATTTTATCTTTACATGAAAACGTTGTTAAATTTTGATTACTTTTGAATCTGTGACTTTTTAATTACTAATTGTAAATTTGATTATTTTTTATTTTTACCTGAAAATTTGGGAGATTTTCACAAATAAGACCATTTCACGCTACTATTTAATTTTTGTTCCCGTTTAAATAAATTTTGCAAAAATAGGTCAGCAGGGCATAACTTGTTCATAATTACTTTTCAAATTTATGCTGCTTGGTCATATATTGTTTATTCTCTTATTTGAGACAAGTCGTGAATCTAGAATATTGTAGTCTTTTACGGTGAAAGAAATTGGGACGAAGTTGTTAATAGCACTAGTCAATATCAAATATCACATATACATATCTTTCTTTCGTAACGTAAACCAAGCATTCAACTTAGACTCAATCCTATTCGAGAATCAAGTATTGAAACATGTAGATGGGTTTTAAACTCTAACCTTTAAAGTATTTTATTTTCGCAGTGTATGCTATATTATTCTACTGGACCGAATAGTGCATAATATTAACATCTTGTAGGCTACGTATAATATATGATTAATCAATTAAAACGCCTGATTTCAAATTAATTGATTGTCAATCATATAGATTACCTGTATTTATTTTGTTCAAGTCGAGGTTATTTTATATTTTATATTAATAGCAGTAAATAACTTACTTTTAAAGTAAATTAGAGACTAATTTAAAATAAATATTCTCTAAGATCTTACATTTATCCAATAGTAGGAAATAATGTGAATTCACTTATATGTTGAGCTTTTTAGAGTCGATATCAAGATGGAATAAAAGATGAGGTTTTGCACCAGGTTTATAACATAAGAATATGCATAACTTTTTTAAGTCATGATCAAGTATTTACGAGAAAGGGATCTTTACACAAATAGCCGGTTGGATTTGTTGAAGTTTGGCAAAATGCCAAAGTCCCACATTGGTTGGGAGTTAAGTTTGGGG